AGCTGAAGGTGGAATTCGATTTATCGCTGGGAAAACCTTTTTTTTTTTTTTTTTGGAGAGGTTTTGGCTACAGGGTGCATGTGCTCGACAGACAGAGACAGAGAGACAGAAAGCAAGAAATCCCCCTCCCGGGGGGATGGACACACTGCAATCCCTTCTCCTCCATTCTCCTCTCGGGATCATGGGCACGCATGCACACGCGCCCGGCGTGAGTTTAAGCCACGGGGTCCGGGACTTGAACCTCGGTCGACTACGTGGGAGTCCAGCGACATAGCCATTACACTAACTGCTGGTCCCCCTCGCTGGGAAAAACTTTGATAAAGGTGTTCTAACCCCACATCCAGTGCTTGTCCCACTTCTGTGGACTGCATTCTACCCCTTTCCCTTGTAACTATTCAGGAAAAACGAGACAATACTTACTTGAGAGCCCTTAAAAAAGTGTGACCACATACCTATTCTACAGGGGAAAGGATTCCTCTATCACAACTTCTTGCTGCTGTATGGGCCAACTTGTTTTCCCTAGGATCTGAGAGGTGTCCAGAAAACCTCACAAGACATCATCCAGGTTACTGTTCCTAAATTTGCAGCGTTATCAAATGAATGAAGCAACACCTCTCGAAGTTCTTAGCTATAGTTTACGTTCCAGTCTGGGGTTGCAGAGAATTGGTTTCTAGTTGGCCTGGGAGCAGCTTCCGCAGGCTACTCTGGGAAGCCTGCACCCACGAGCGAGCGCGGGGGAGGCTTTGCCGCCAGTCCCCCACTGAGGTGTCAAGGATTCGCGGAAGCCCTCGCGGCGGGGGAGTACCCCGGCCTGGGAACCGCGCCCGAGGATGCTAGGGCCGTCCTAGGCGCTACCTCCCTCCCGGGCCCGTCGCCAAACTCGTCCACACCACCCAGCCCCGCGGATCAAGGCGCCCATATTCAGCGGGGCCCCACCTTCCACCCGCTAAAGGGCACGGTCACGTGAGACGGGCCAATGGAACCAATGGGCGGCTCGTGCCGAATGGAAGGGATCGTCTGACCCCCGTGACGTCACAAAGCTGGCGGGGAGCGCGCTCCTCTTCCGCCCCCGCCCCCTGGCGGTGGCCCGC